TCACTGATTTGCAGCCAAGAAGGCAAACCAGGAACCACTTTAAGTGTGCGGCGTATTTAAAAAGAAACAGGCATTCCGCGGTCTTCGGTTCAACGCATAACAAAGAAGGACTTGAGCTTAAAAACTTTCAAGGGAGTGACTGTACCGAACTGACGCTTGAAACTAGGCAGAAGCGACCGAAGCAAAAAACTTCTGATCCGTTTTCGAACCAATTCTGCTGTCAGCAAAATTTGGTTTTCGGATGAAAAAAATGTTTACCTTGGAGCGCCCACGCAACACTCAAAATGACCGTTTTTACGCAAATGTGCAACAACAAAAAAGTCGAGTCTTCGCGACTCTTGAGGGAAAGGCCACACTTTTCCGATTCGGTTATGGTATCAGTGGCAGTGTCTGCCGAAGGAAAAACTGGAATCCTTTTCATCGAACGTGGGTGAAAATTAACTCTCAAAGCTACTGCGACGAGGTTTTGCCCCAAACACTTCCAGAGATTGAGGACAAAATGTTGGATTACATCTTCATGCAAGATGGTGCACCAGCTCATCTTGCCTCAGAAGACACTTGCACACCTGAGGTCCAACTATGCAGACTTCATTGAGCCCAACTTCCCCCCCCCCCCAAACAGCCCAGACCTGAACCCGGTGGACTACTTCGTCTGGAGGAAAAAGTCTACCGTCTATGAGCGATCATAAAAAAAACGGAAACGGAAAATGGATTGCGGACTGAAGTCCTTCCCTCCCGACCAGACTCTGCTGCTGACAAAACAAACATCGGTAAAACTCCTTCTGGTTCCTCCTTGAAAACATGAAGATGAAGTGCTTTTCATGTCTTCAGGATGCATGACAGCTGATGTGACACCATGAATGACGTCACTCCATATTCCCTTCGAATATTAATTGAAAGAAGGTAGGGATATTAATATGGACATTTTCCTTTTCTTCTCTTGTCATTGAATTACGCGGTCTTTCGCTGTAAGGTTTTGGAGAAGCACGATATGTTTGAAATGCATGCGACATCTGTTTTACCCAAAGGGAATTAATTTCCCTTTGTCCAGAATTTTCCACATCAATCCAGTTCCATTCCACTTTTTGACTTCCTCGAGTTGAGGTTTGCCTTCGATCCATCAGGTGGCTTTCCGACATTATTCCCGTTCTGCAGTTCGGCCATTCTTTTGTTCGGGCTGTTACAAGCGACCCTGTCTATCACGAACTTCAGCAAGTCGTTTTAAAATCATTCAACGGTCGAAAATGTTTTCCCACATCCAACTCACTTTTGTCACAAGCGCCCGGAACGACAAGACTGCAGAAAGATTCTTTTCAGAATTTCTTCAAAGGAAAGAAGATCTAGCCCTCATGCAGATCATGTTTCCTCAAATCCACCATATGTATGGAATCGTTTCATTGGAAATGTACAGGGAGGTCCACATGTCCTGTAGGGTTGTGGTAAAAGTTATGAAAATTTTCACCGGCCATTTATAACTCAAGACCGATTGGTGACATTTGAAGCGGCAACTACAAAAAAACCTTGACCTTGATACACTCAGCCTTGACCTTCATGAGCGCCCAGCACTACCACGCATAATAGCTAGAGTACTAGTGAGAATGAGTGCTGGTGTACTCGTCCGAGTACCTTCGAGTTCCAAAGTTATTTAAAAGAATGGGAGAAGTGTCGTGATATTAATTCCATTCAAAAGTAAAAGATCACGCAAATTCACGTATTCACGCAAATTCATGTATGGAATCGTTTCGTCGGAATGTACAGGGAGGTCCACATGTCCTGTAGGGTTGTGGTAAAAGTTATGAAAATTTTCACCGGCCATCTATAACTCAAGACCGATTGGTGACATTTGACGCGGCAACTACAAAAAAAAAACCTTGACCTTGATACACTGAGCCTTGACCTTCATGAGCGCCCAGCACTACCACGCATAATAGCTATATATTTATGATATCTTGCCCTTCTTTCACCGGCTCCCGAAACCGTACGGGACTTATGGGCCTCCTCGTAATTGTCTCATTTTCCCCAAAATCACACTCTCGCAATTTGGAGTCGTTCTTTATTCGTTTCGCGCGACGAAGAGGTTACGGGTGCAAAGTTCCCTAGCGGAAAAGATACTTTATTTACGGGATGCAGTTGGAACTCGGAAAGGAACCAGATGCCTTTCCGAGACGAGAACACTATTTCGGCGATCGAGGATGCCAAAAAAATCGGTCTTCCCTCGTGTCGAAGACGCCCCGGGGACGCAAGGATTTCATTCGGCAAAATGGCAAGTAGCAGAAAGAAGTACATTTTTGCGCTTCTTCCGGGATGAAACCGCAAGGGAATAATTCTGCCGATTCATGCAACACAAAAGGCATACTTTTGGAATCCACTTCGTCCTGACTTTGCAGTTTGGGGAATCGCGAAATCTTTCCTGTCTCTCCCTTGGAAGTTCCCCCGTCGATCGCATGAACGTTCGCATACAGGAAACAAAACTGGACATATTTTTCTGTTGCATGTACTTGAGAGAATGATTTTAAAATTTGATTTTAAAATACGTAAACAGATCTTTCTCGAGTGGATCTAAGAATAACTTTTCCCTTTCATCGTATGGAATCCCCCGATCCCCGATCCCGTGCCCCGATCCCAAGGAATCCGATTTAACTCGGAACTCGTTTTTCTCCTTCGATCGAGTCTCGATGCCGCAGCCTCGACGGGCCGATGTATCGGCGGAGCCGGCTGGTTTATCACTCATCGCTTCCCTCCGAATTACGTACAGCACTTTGACTTGCTGAGAGACTCGCTCGGTTTCGGAGCTACACCACCGTGACAAGTCGAAAGGAAGTTTAGCAAGAAGCAAATCGTGTCGGAACAGTCGATAGCAAATTTTTTAGTTTCGTCCGTATTCGCATGGATTATCGCAGTTGAGAAAAATCACTAAAAAAAAAAAAGGAATATTCGGCTGAAGCGAGCCAACAAGGCGATGCATGGGGAAAAGCTCATGTTCTCATCGCCACATTGATATGGCACGAAAATTCTTCTTTCTTTCGAAATTGCACATACCATTGCCAATCCATCGCTCGCATCCACACCCCGATACTTGCCCCGCCCTCCTCCGTCGGCGCCGACGTTTTCCCCCGGAGCAGACGTGCCGCACGAGGTGGACGTGGAGCACCGCCGCCGCTACGGGAAGACGTGGGGGGAGTGCGAGGGCCGACGCCCTGTGCTTTTCACCGCCGACACGGAGCTCATCAGACTCGTCACCGTCGAGGCGTTCTCCAACTTCGTCGACCGACGGCAATTCCATCTGAAACAGGAGCTTCTTCATCGTTCCCTCGACAAGCTGAAGGCAATGTCCCTCTTCGTTTCGCTTTCATTCTTTTTTTGACATTCGTTTCGTTTCTATTAATAACATCGATTTTCTGTTAATATAAGAAAAGTGCATTTTTAACAAAGGATGCCGGTCGCACTGTTGGAAAATCGCAANAAAACGAAAATATGAAGATGAAGTGCTTTTCATGTCTTCAGGATGCATGACAGCTGATGTGACACCATGAATGACGTCACTCCATATTCCCTTCGAATATTAATTGAAAGAAGGTAGGGATATTAATATGGACATTTTCCTTTTCTTCTCTTGTCATTGAATTACGCGGTCTTTCGCTGTAAGGTTTTGGAGAAGCACGATATGTTTGAAATGCATGCGACATCTGTTTTACCCAAAGGGAATTAATTTCCCTTTGTCCAGAATTTTCCACATTAATCCAGTTCCATTCCACTTTTTGCCTTCCTCGAGTTGAGGTTTGCCTTCGATCCATCAGGTGGCTTTCCGACATAATTCCCATTTCTGCAGTTCGGCCATTCTTTTGTTCGGGCTGATACAAGCGACCCCGTCTATCACGAACTTCAGCAAGTCCTTTTAAAATCATTCAACGGTCGAAAATGTTTTCCCACATCCAACTCACTTTTGTCACAAGCGCCCGGAACGACAAGACAAGGAAGGATTCTTTTCGGAATTTCTTCAAAGGAAAGAAGATCTAGCCCTTAAATGCACATTCCCCGAGCCAGTGGAGATAAGAGGTTGAAGGTGGGAGGCGGCAGGTGGAGGTGGGAGGCAGAGGATGACCCAGGATCTCATTTCAAGCGCCCTTTCGAGTCAGAGCGATCGAAAGACTAGATGACGCCTCAGAGCAGGCGAAGACTAATGCATATCACATGTCGAAAACGGGCCATCACGCAAGAAACGCATCATTACATTGCCTTTCTCATCATTTTGCACGCGGCTAGCGCCCTCTATCTTGCGATGAAAATGGAGTAACGCGTATCATGTAGGTCATTACGAGTGCTTTCGCGCTCATTTCATCAGCTACTGCTGGAAAACATTACAAATCGCAATATGAATGAGGTGCAACTGCGAAACGCGTACATATCGAACAAGCTCGAAAGGGCTTACGATTCGGCTAACAGTTTGGCAAGCCTAGTGTTTTGGGGTTTCCGCTCTTAAAAGTGGAGCACTCATCTCGCCGTATTTTGTTTTTTAACTCTTTCCCTCCAATCCAACGAACAGTCACATCCGCGAAGCAGAGCATTATGAATTCCCTACGGCAATTATGGCTTCTTGGATAGGTACGGGATTCTAGCGTCAGTGGCTGAAACTACTGTTGTCCGTTTCTCACGGGAGAGAGCACCTTTTCTAATTTCTATTTCCTTCCTTGACCGATCAAGGTCGTCCGTGTTTTTCTTGTGTTCATTATGCGCGCGAGAAGCCCTTATAAGAGCCCTGCTCTCGTCCTAAACGAAAGTTACTAATCACCATATATTCTTTACTGATAAAAATCGCGCAAAAGTTGACGAGTCTCATGAGTTCTAGATGAAGAACGACCCAAGAAATTCTTCAAGGCTCACGCGATACTTAAAAGCGCGAACAGAAGAACTCGCATCGAGCACGCCTCTATTTCCCGATGAAAAGGAGAAAAAGCGAACGCAGTTCGCGGAGCACGCAGACTCTCGTGCAGTGAGAAGAAATGGAGATTCTGGGCGTGGAGATCCCCGTTTCCTGCCTCCTCCTCCTCGCCTCCCTCGCCCTCCTGTATGAATGTTTGACGTGGACGTGGGGCACTTGGTCGCGGCGGGGGATCCCCGAGGTGAAGCCCTGGATCGTCGTCGGCAGCAGACTCACCGTCTACAAAGGTAAGCTATCTTACGAGCTCATTCCCTTTGTATCCCATGGAGCACATAATTCAACAATTTTTAAGGGGAAGTCCGCAAGGCTCAGTGTATCAAGGTCAAGGTTTTTTTTTGTAGTTGCCGCGTCAAATGTCACCAATCGGTCTTGAGTTATAGATGGCCGGTGAAAATTTTCATAACTTTTACCACAACCCTACAGGACATGTGGACCTCCCTGTACATTTCCGACGAAACGATTCCATATATATGGTGGATTTGAGGGAGCATGTGCGGAATTTCCGTTTCTGAGATGAACCACTTTCTAAGACGGCAAAAAATTCTATATTTTGATGGTGAACGTGATGTCGAAGCGTTCCGGTACGATAGAGGCCACAGGCACAAGAGACCCCAGGCCCATTATTATGTCCTGACCCTAGAACACCAGCTGATCTACCCCCTTCCCCCTCCCCTTCCTCCTGCCCCCTCCAGTTAGCGAATTGGCTGCATATGCATGCCCAGAAAGCGACAATCCTTCGATGTAATGGGAGATGGTCAGTCGGTCTCAGTGGCGTATTTCACGGGGGGGGGGGGGGGGGGGGGGGGCAAGGGGGGTCTAAGGATTTGGTGTATGGGACGAGAGTATTTCTAACCTTACGGGATGTCCTCTGAATGCTCCAGGGATTTCCATATCCCGGGACGATTTCATTATGACATCCATGGGATGTCATTTTGTCCCATGTAGGATCCAAATGGAATGTCCCAGGGATGATTCCTTGCTACTTGGGTAGCCTTCATCGATTATAGCCATCCTTTTTCTGTCACAGTCATCCGAGGACAGCGGATCGTGCGGATTCAATCGGTAATCATGAAATCCCTGCAGCTACCGCTGGCCGTATGCGTCCGTATGCGTCCGTATGCGTCCGTATGCGGCCGTATGCGAAATGCGTCAGGAGTCCTTTCAAATTCTGGGCAAAATTGGCAGCTTCAATATGCTTTCCCTTTAGGTTCTCGTTTGATGGCTGGATTCGTAGGCGATCGTCAGAAACTAGATCGACTGATCGCCCTTCGCTAAAGGCACGATAGATTATGCATGAGTCTTGTAATTAACATTTTTTAACCGCAGGTATTTTGGCGGTTTCGCATTTGATATCATCGCATCTTATGGATTCGGCGTGGAAATTTCCTCTATGAAAGATGCCGACAATCCATTCGTGAAAAATGCTCTCCGCCTTCTCTCTAATGAGAATGTCGACACTCCGATCGTTCTGCTCCCGAGTGAGTCGAAATTAGACAACAAATAAATTATTTTACCGAGCGCTGAGTCAGTGAAGTGTGTCTTCATTCCCAGTGGCATTCCCAAAGCTGATGCTTTACATGGAGCTGTTCCCACCGGAGACCAATGACTTCTTCGTCAAGCTCATCAAGGAGATGGTCGAGGCCCGTAAAGAAAAACCGGATGCTGGAACGAGAAATGATTTTCTAGGCATCATCATCCAGGCCCTCAAGGAGGTAAAGCCCTGCAGGCGATACAAATAGCATTTCTGGTACCTGGGCGACTGTGTTTCGTTTGGCACGAGTCAATAAGTTAGAGAGATAAACTCATTTTGCTTGTCGATTAACCGTTGAACAGAGCATTCATACTACTTTGCAAGAGTTGGAAAGAGAAATAGCAATGAGAACTGAAAGTTAACCAAAGTTAACCAAAGCATAAAGCAACGTAAGACAAGAAAAATGTAGGAAGTTCAATGCAGTGCGAAAACGAAAATACTAATTTTATTGTGATTGGCTCTACGGCCAATTGGAATCCAGTTGGAAGAAAACGAGGATTACCAGCGGCTGGGGATAACGCAGACGGTGCTGGAGGCACAGCTGATGCTATTCTTCTTGAAGAATAGCATCAAGAACAGCAATAGCATCTTGAAGAATAGCGTCGTAGTTCACGTGCCACGTGAACCACGACAAGAACGACGTAAGAAAGCCATACGCCCACTGGGAGTATGGCTTTCTTGCAAGTGGATGCGATATTTTAGATTAAATTTTGTCCAAAGTAAATTCGTTTCCTCTGGAACTCTCTTAATCCTTTCTCGGCCAAGCTAGTTTTGAACCACAACCTGCATACGTGTTGTTTATGAGTACTTCATGATTGAGAAAAATTCTGAAAATCAGCGATGATTACATAATACGTCCCCACTCTAGAGAACCGATCCACTCACTACGCATGTGGATGTTGGTATGCCAATGTTGAGGGCTGGAAGGTTACATAGGTCTTTCATAATATTAGAACTGGCAACTCAACAAAACTATGAAAATTTTGAGAGGATATGCTTTTTCGTTGTGGGTCAAAACGGTCCCCCCCCCCTCCTCCCCCTCCTCCCCCCGCCACCAAGGCTATGCCTAAAATTGCATCGGCCAAGTGGTCAAGTAAAGGTTACTTAAAGTAGTTATGTTAATGTTAACGGGGTGTTCCACGCCCATGTTTTCTGAGCTCTACGTGCCGTTAAATTTCTCATTTTCTTTGACACTCTCATAGAGGAAGATTAAGTATTCGTGTCTGATTCATGGTCCGGGTCAGGGTCGCCCTGAATCCCTTTTCATTATTAGAACCTTCATTTCCTCCTCTCGTCACCTGCTTTCATTTGTCTTTTTTACGTTTCAACATCTATGAATGAGAAGGTAAGTCGTGTACGCCGCTAAAAATAAAATCCAAATGCACTAAACAGGAATACTTTGCATGTGTTCGCTGGAAATGGAAGGGGAGGAAACTATTTCGGTATTTTTGAGGAATCTTTGTGCACTGAACGGATTGGAAAACGGTCATTCCACTTCTGGGATCGAAGTCTGAGCGAAACGCTATAGCAATTTCGAGGCACAGGATGAAAGAATCTCAATGCAGTCAGGTGTTTCCTTGCTTTCGCAGCTTCAAGAACATCGTGATCCCCAAGGACACCCTCATACAGATCCCTCTTAGCGCCCTTCACCGAGATGAGAAAGAATTCCCGGAGCCGGAAGCGTGGAAACCGGAACGATTCCTGGAGAAGAAGAGAGTGCATGACCCCTACGCCTATCTGCCCGTCGGGATCGGCCCACGCATGTGCATCGGAGAGAGGTCTGTTAATACGTGCATCTGTGATACGTGAGCTTTAGGAATGTTCCAGCCGATTGGTCATAAATGGAAACTAGAATAATAGTGCAATAGAATTTTGAAATCGGATAAAGCATCGAGTCATAAGTCGTAACTAACAGCAATAGAGGGAACGAAAAGTAAGAAAAGGAAGCAAGCCTGTGAAATGATTCACGAAAACAAATTTCTGTAAGAAGCATTCGATTCGTCTTAGCCCTCGTTATTTCGCCCTGAAGATCAATTTGCAGCAACATCCTTGGAAATCGATGCGATTCGAATCGTCACCGCTTCGCATGCTTGCAACCGATGCCAAGTTTTTGCCAAACTGCGCAAACGTCTGATGGAAACTCCCAGGTTGCCCCAGGAGAACGATCCGCTACGGCTTCGTCCACGTGCTGAGGGAGCTGGAGATCGCGAGGACGGCGGAGACCCCCGGAAGAAGCCGGAATACCAGCGGGGCTTCCTCTTCCTCGTGCAACCGACCGACCTGGTCGTCGGCTTCCGACCCCTTCGCTGATTCTTGCCGATGGTCAAATGTCTCGCGCGTGTCGATCCCCGAACGAGTGTCCACCTTTATTTCCTTGCACGTGGTACGTTTGTAACCGGAGCTCATTCGAGCCCTCGAAAGCCTGTCGTGTCTCGAACTTGCAATTTCCAATCTGTTGGTGAAGCGAAGACTCGGAAATCGGCTGTTACAGGAATCCTTCAGCGGTATAGAATTTGGGTTGTTTTGCTTTGGGATGTGAAACTCGGTCGTCCCATATTAAGGAAAATGGATTACAAGTCTCTATTTTATATAAACAATGTATAACGAAAGAATGACTCTGTTCTTCCAGGTAAATAAAAATTTCGGAGGAACTGAGAGCTTCTTTGACGAACACGAAACTACCATCTTGCACTATGCTTGAAATAGCTTGAACCAAAATTTGCGCACTCGTGAAGTCAGTAATTTTCAAACGCTTCCAAGAACATGTATATAAATGCGTCTCCGATCCTCTAACTGTTAAATGTAGATCACGAGGTTGACTGTGGAAGGAAAAGGTTTTCATCGTGACATGAATCTCATGATGAAAAACCTTCTCTGAAAATTCTCTTTATGGTCTCTTCATTTTTGCTCGCAAAAAATGGCACCTTCTAATGAGGCTTTTTGAGGCTCTTCCGCCACCGTGACAAGTCGGAAGGAAGTTTAGCAAGAAGCAAATCGTGTCGGAACAGTCGATAGCAAATTTTCTAGTTTCGTCCGTATTCGCATGGATTATCACAGTTGAGAAAAATCACTAAAAAAAAAAAGGAATATTCGGCTGAAGCGAGCCAACAAGGCGATGCATAGGAAAAGCTCATGTTCTCATCTATACATTTAGATGGCACGAAAATTCCTCTTTCTTTCGAAATTCGAAATTGCACAAACAACAGCCAATCCATCGCTCGCATCCACACCCCGATACTTGCCCCGCCCTCCTCCGTCGGCGCCGACGTTTTCCCCCGGAGCAGACGTGCCGCACGAGGTGGACGTGGAGCACCGCCGCCGCCACGGGAAGACGTGGGGGGAGTACGAGGGCCGACGCCCTGTGCTTTTCACCACCGACACGGAGCTCATCAGACTCATCACCGTCGAGGAGTTCTCCAACTTCGTCGACCGACGGCAATTCCATCTGAAACAGGAGCTTCTTCATCATTCCCTCGACAAGCTGAAGGCAATGTCCCTCTTCGTGTCTTCGTTTCGCTTTCATTCTTTTTTTGACATTCGTTTCGTTTCTATTAATAACATCGATTTTCTGTTAATATAAGAAAAGTGCATTTTTAACAAAGGATGCCGGTCGCACTGTTGGAAAATCGCAATTTCTGAACTATTATCAACAGAGATCTGAACTATCAACGGAATTTCGACGTCTCCCGCTGAACGCGAAAAATACCTCTAAGCCAAGGTAATAATGAGAATTGCTAGAAGTGATCAAGGCCCTCCTCTCACCTTTTCGGTTGCCCTTTAATATTCCAATTTTTTATTGTTATTTTCTTCTCCTTTCATGTGGTTGGTTTTCGCGCATACCTGTACTCCATGAACTTGCATCTTACTTCTTTTAGTATACAGTGGTACCTCGCATAACGAACGCAATTCGTTCCAGCGGTGCGTTCGTTATGCGAGGTACCACTGTACTTATAAAATACTAATAAATGATACTTCATTGTCTTTTTTTTATTATTCCTTTTATTTACTTCATATCTTCATACTTTTTTGTGTCTTCAAGGTCTCCTTCCATTTTATTAATTCCTATTTATTTATTTATTTAAATTTCGCTTTCGATTATTCCTTCAAGATTCCTTTTCTTCACTTTTCGTATCCGCCATTATTTTCAAAATTAAAAAATTAATTTTTTATTGCGTTCGATTTCTAAAAATTTATGACGACGACTCCGCCTTCCGTTTTCAAGTTTGCGCATTTCAACTGCAATTTCCTTCAGCCGTATCACCTTTCTCTCCCAGGGCGAGAAACGGAAAGACCACGATGGACGTACTGAAGCGCGACGGGGCGGAAGGGAATAAGAGTCTTCAGCTCTCCAAGTCAGTCGCATGACCGCTGCTTTCACAAACTCGCGCCCTACAAGGGAGCTCAGTTTGTAGAGCCACGAGGAATGCATGATTTCCTTGCTCATACTCTCCCATACTTCTTTCCGCGCCTTTGGCGGCTGCAGTGAATGGGGAAAAGCTGATTTTTTTCCGAGCGGATACATCTCAGCATCGAGAGATAATACGATTTGGATAGGTCAGCTGCATGCCCTGCAAGTGAGTTTCCCGGAATAGGCAACATCCTAATGTTGCCTATTCCGGGATAGGCAACATTAGAGGACGTTCATCGAGCACGGTTCAACTGTGGCTCCATTAACTTCGGATGGCCAGAAACGAGAGTGATTGACTGGAGTAGATTTTCGCTCTTCCAGATATCAGCCTCATGACGTGAGAAAGAATTTCACACCTGTGCATGGAAGTTTGAAGGGTAGGGACGCTCATCCGCTAGGACCATCAAAATTTCGGCCTCTGAAGTAAATGCACGAAGAGGCTGAAAGCGCATGTCCAATTATTCATTAAGTGCTGAAAGAGGAAAGAGGCGTGGAAGAAAGATTGGCTGCTCTTTTCTCTGCATAGCGCGAGCAGCAAAATCTCTCTAATGACCTTCCGTCAACACGGCAGCATTCAACTCCTTTCGTATCGGTTTCTTCGCCGCATCATCAACGTGGATTCGACTCGGGAGTCGAATGTGGATGCAGGAATCTTCGTGCAATGTGTCACATGGGACACATCCACATCCCACAACGGACGTCCTATGGACATACTAAGGATTTGGTGTATGGGACGAGAGTATTTCTAACCTTACGGGATGTCCTCTGAATGC